ATGAGTTATCAACGAAAAACAGTGACCAATGAGAGGCGAGCTCGGCTGGCGCGAGGCGACCGAGCCAATGAGCGGAACCGGGCTTCGCGCGCTGGTTGGCTGGGCCGCCTCGCGTCGGCCGTACTCGATTCTTATTGGTCACTGTTTTTCGTTAATAACTCGTTAACGGTGCCTCGGAGAAAATTCTTGTAAAGGAAGAAGTTGCTTCAAATGATCCGAGGAACCCGCCATTTCCGGATTGCGAGACATTTTTGGGACACCCTGTATACAATTGTTCCCACTTTGAACTTGTTCGTGGTGTGATCTTAACAGAGTAACGAACAATTTAGGTTGCGAATAGTTTATAATACAGGGTGTCTCTTCTATTTTTTATTCAAAGCTGGGAATATTATGAGCGATCGGTTTATCTTTCAAGGTAATTTTTTCCCAGTTTTGAAGGTCCATCCTACTTGTCTCTGTTGCCGCTACAGTTCTCACGCAGCAAGAAGGCACCTCTTACTACACCCCCTCTCCCTATGCCCTCTTACTACACCCCCTCTCCCTACGCCCTTTTACTAGCTGCTCCACTGCCGCAGCTAGTAAGTGGGGGAACGTGTAAGCGCAAAGGTGCTTCCTAGTCGCGTGAAGACTATAGATCTCTCAATCTTTTGGCATATATTTACCATGTTTTCGAGCATCTTAGAGTAATATAAATTGGATAAAGAGTCACATAAATCTATAATACTACACGTACAATGTGTATACGTTGCTTTAGTGTCGTCATAAAAGTACGATCGATTGATTTCGTTTCTTTCCTTTAGCCAAATGCTACACGCAACTAAATTGTTCGACTACGTTCTTACAACAGCTTTCACAAACGTTGATATTACATGTATTGTCAGGTGCACATTAGAAGTTGGAAATACAAACCAGCACAGAAGTTTTTAGCTTATGTAGCATCGAAGACGGTCGGATATTGTGGCAGCGATTTACAGGCGCTGTGCGCCGAAGCTGTTATGTGTTGCGTCCGAAGGAATTACCCGGAGATATACACGTCGAAAGCGAAGTATCAGATCAACGATCGGCATCTTAAAGTAATTGAGCATACGAATAACAATTGTTCGTAGAAGATACAACCAACACGTTAAGATTCTAAAGGAAACTGTAGAATTAATGACCGCGTATATTTCTATTAATTCTAACACAGCAATATACAAATATAATGTTTCGTTAAGTTATTTTGAAATATACCGGGTGTCCCAAAATTATTATTATTATTATATTATTTCCGAAAAATGAGAGATTCCTGAGGTCATTCGAAGTAACTTTTTCCTTTAGGAAAAGTATCGTTAATGCGTTATCAACGAAAAACAGTGACCAATGAGAAGCGACCTCGAGAGGCGCTCGAAGCCCAGCTTCGCTCATTGGCTCAGCCGCCTCGCGCCAGCCGAGCTCGTCTTCTCATCGGTCACTGTTCTTCTACATTTTCAATTATTAAATTAGATTGCATTTTCGTCGAGGAAAAAGTTACTTTAAATTGTCAGCTGTTGAAGTAATTATGGAACACCCTGTATACATTTTCTAAAGTTTCCAAGTTTTTGTCATTAATGCACCGAATCCGCGGTCCAGCAATAGCAAACATAAAATAACGAGTTCGAACATTGTCTTCCCGTTGATCGTCTTTTACACTATTTTAGTATGTTAGTTTATGTTTGTTCGAGATCCGTTGAACACAGCGCGTGTCCCTCGTAACAGGTCGACAAGCAAGATTTCCACAAAGCTCAACAAAACATCGTGCCGGCGTCCCATCGCGTTTCGGTCGCGCCCGTGAGGTCGTTGTCGTTTAAGATGCAGCCTCTGCTCCAAGACAATTTGTCACGCATTCTGTCACAGCTCGATATCCTTTGCCCAACAGGAATGTTAATCTGCGACGTCATGTGAGTATTAGGTCACAATCCAGTTAAACCACTCTCAGATAAATCATGCGCCGCGTTAAGCTAACGTCGTTTCTCGGCTGTTCGTCGCGAATCTATTTCATATGGATCCTTATTAGAGCGCACGTCTCGAGATCTACGATAAGACGATAAACGATTAAAAGTAACAGTAGCAATAGCTTCGGTTAGGTAGCTGAAATAATTAGCAGGTAGCTAATATTATATTATTATAATATTATATTATATATTATATTTATATATTAATATAAATTTGTATATATTATATATAATATATTATATTATTTATATTATATTATAATATTATAATATTATAATTCCAATGATAGCTCTGTTAGCTTCTGCAAAATATTTACAAAATGTTGTTAATAACATGTCGTCTTGTAGTAATAATATAATAATATATTAATAATATAAATATGTTTATAACTTTCGCTGACATATATTTGATTTAAACAATATTTCAATAGTCAATATAATTTAGACTTACGCTTATTTAACTAATTATTGAAGCATCTTTCCGTCTAATTTTCGTTTTCATCATTTCTCTCACCTGGTTGTCCTAGCCTCACTTTCTAACCTCTCTCTCTCTCTCTCTCTCTCTCTCTCTCTCTCCGAATCAATTTATTTAACAAACAAACAGGACATCCGTGTTAATTAATGCAGCATCATGGCTCCCTTGCTAAAAAAACATTTGTAAATTCAAAGGAGCTAGAAAAACCGAGAAAATTGATTTTTTTTTAAAGATCTATGACCGAGCATGATCCCGCGCATGAAGATCTATTGAAAATCAAAGACTACTTAATGAACGGTTAACGTTCAAAAGTCGCTTTAAAAAATAGGTAAACCGATCGTCTGTTGCGACTTTCGTCCATTAAAATCGATCGTTGCTAGCAGATGGGTGCCGATGACGTCTCATTTTTCAGTTACCGTAAATGAATTATACGGTAACCGATCGATAAGTGCCATTGCATAACCGTCAATTAGGAACGCATGTCGCACACAGCCGTGCCAGGGGACAGTGCCATTGGGCCGTTACTTGAATCTCATCTGCGCCGAAAGTTAATCGTTATCGAGCGGCTATTAAACAAATAAAGAACAGAGCCTTAAAGATTCTCGAAGAAACGTCACGGATTTCAGAAAGCGTTTGTCTGTTTACAAATTTCGAGAATAAAGCTTTTCGGCAATCTCTGGCGCCATCTATATCGAATACTGTTCCAACGCTTATCTTATTACCTTATTTTATATTATCTTATTATATTATATTTTTATATATTATAATATAATATATAATATTAATTATATATATATATATATTATAATAATAAAATAATATTATATATATATTACTTTATATTATTTTATATATATTATTATATTATATTATATTATCTTTTTTATCCGATGCAAAGACAAGAGTATTTACCATTTGTTTAAACCTTTTTCCCAGCAATCTTTAACGCTTCCATCATATTTGTCTAATAGTACTGCTCTTCGTTGTTATCATAGATTATAGTTATAGATTAGATTAGATTATATTATAATTACAGATATATATTATATATAGATATATTATAGATTAGATTATATTCGTTGTTATTATAGATACATATGTTATTATACTTAGTTTCTCTGAAAAGGGTTAGGAAACTGCGTCTTAGGTTATACCTTCGCTACGACTTTCTGCGGCAGGCCCGGTGAACTGGTGGCCCGCGGGCCGCCATAGTCTCTACTCCCCTCCTGCGGGCTTCCCCCACCACACCTACGCCTGCTACCTCGCGCCACACGCGCAACGGCAAACATGGCGGGAAAAGCAGCAGGCAGGGAAGACGTTCGCCAGGCTTGTTGGTAAACAATGATTATAAGGACATGAATAGAAGTTCGGAGATTCTGTTGCAGCACCGGCAAAGCTCTATCTAAATCAACCAACTGCCCGAGGATCTTATTATGTGGAAACGACGACTCCCACACGCGTCATCTAGGGCCGGCGTTGCTTCATACGTTGGAACACCTACCCTGCCACGTGTTAGATGTCACGACCTTGTTCGAGGAGACTGGCAAAGGAGCTGAAGAGGCTATCATTCAAGTAACAACGTTACACAATAAAGTATACAAAGGAAAATTAACGATATTCGATAAGAGTAAAACAAAAGGAATACTTTTTATGCTACAGTGAATTCACTGGAAATTTCCTCCAGTTGTGCCTCCGAGCCCTTGGGGCTCCTTTTCAGAGATTCTAGTCTCCGTTAGCTCCTTCTAGCACACGTCAACGAGCATCTTTGCACGCCGCAATGCGATCACGTTGAGTAACATTTCGTTCCATCGACTTGTCAACTAGAAAATGAAGACGGCTCGACGAAGTTTACCATCCTTGCTCTACGTTCCGAATATCCTGGCTTGGTGGGACTTGGTAGACGAAGCCGCCCGAGTCGTGTTCACATCTCTGATGCACGGTTTGGACCGGTCCGTGTACATGCTGATTTTGACTACGGCAAACTGTTCGGTGAAAGAGCTGCCGGAAGACGTAAGAGAAATTGCTGCACCTTTCTCCACGACCTTCTGCGCAGGCCCGGGCAACTGGCGGCCCCTCGCGCGGCTTTCCCCACCACACTTACGCCTGTCACCGAAAATTTTTTTCCAGCGGTTGTACTAAGCTTTCCTTCACGCTGATAAATTATACAGGATGTCCCGAAAATGTCTCGCAATCCTGAGGTGATTTGAAGCAACTTTTTCCTTTGCGAAAATTTTCTACGAGGCTTCGTTTACGAGTTATTAACGAAAAACGCTGACGAGAGATCGCGGACGGCCGACGCCCCGCCCTCGCGGCCACTGCCGCTGCGTCAGACGGCCGGGAGGGCGGAGCGCCGGTCGCTCTAGCGCTCCGATTGGTCACAGTTTTTCGTTAATAACTCGTAAACGAAGCCGCGGATCGCATTTTCGCTGAGGAAAAAGTTGCTTCGAATCACCTCAGGAATCCCCTGCTTTCGGATTGCGAGACATTTTCGGGACACCCTGTATATCCGAACTCTCTGAACTAGTAATCTTTTCGAAAGAAGAATTTAGTATTACTTAATTATTGTGTAATTGCTAACGCACTTTTAGAATGTATTAGAGCAACGCCATTATTTCTGTGCGCGATCGTAATTCTGATTTTAGCTTTCTTACAATACTATAGTCTTTAACTTTCTACGATACTATAAACCTTAAACTGCAATTTCAGGTCTCATCTTTATTCAACGAGCATCTGGGCGAAACTTTCGAAATCACGCCGCCGGGAGAGCACGAGCGCGAATCATTTTTCAAGCAATTGTTCAATCATGCAACTTCCGACATTGAATCGAATCAATCGTCGCAAGGTATAACAGCGATACATTGTAGAACATTTAATGTTTAGATAGCACAAAAAATACTAAATTAAAAAATGGCTAATATCTAAAATATTTACAAAAATAACAAGTTATGTCACGAGCAGATTTTGAAAATGCAAGAAAGTGTGTAGATTAACAAAGTTTAGTAGCATTTTCATTTAGATTTTTGCAATGTGCAATCTTTTAGTTGACCAAGAACACTCTAAAGACTTTGCGAAAGGAGAATTTGCATAAAGTCCCGTAGCTTAATTGTTCAAGTCTTCGCTAAATCTATTTAATCATTTTCTATAATAAACAGTGGATATTGTACAAGTTGAAACGCCCGCGAGAAAGCCAAGAGAAGGTGGGAGGAGAAGGAAATCGGTGTTACATGCGGGTAGCTCGGAGCATGCTGTAACACGTAAGTAATCGAAAACGCTATCAAAAATTATTTGCAAGCTAATGATGATGCTACGATAACGATAGCAGCAGTGTCAACGTCACGGAGGACTAAACTCGGAGTGAAAAGTCGGAACAAGCTTCTCACCGTATCGCAAGTATCAACCGCAAAATCAAGTAATGCCAATTCAAATTTCAATTTACATGTTTCGATAATTCCTTATTTTGTTTTTTATTTCAAGCACGAACACTCGCGCGTTTCTAGCTTAAGGTGGTCCGACAGAATACAATGAAATGAAAGCGCAGAAAATTATTATTTTATCTTTATAATAATATTTATAATATATTAATAATAATATATATATTAATAATAATTATATTTATTATATTAAAATCTAATCCGTCGATCGTCAGAAACGAACGTGAAACGAAAGTCTAGTGGTTCTGGGGAAGGACCGTCGTCGAAAAGATCGAAGAACGCCTCGAGGAGAAGCTTATCGGTGTCCAGCAGAGAAAAATTGTGCGATCCGCAAGCCGAAGATCTGCTTCAGAAGATCATCGCGGTTACAGAATCATGGTCGTGCCACGATTTGGAAGTTCTCTACACGTCGCTCGAATTAATCTTGGAGAAGACGGAGGACGACGTGCACTCGGCGGTGGAGGAGTGTTTGAAACAATTTTTCGAACTCAGGCGAATAAAACGGTGCGCGAAGAAGGAGGAGAGCTGAACGACGATCATTCGAAAATGAAATCCGCTGCCGCGCGTAATTCTCTATCGCCGGGAGCGACCCATTAATTCACTCACCGATATGTAATTTCAAGTCGTTCATCACGACGAGCTAGGTTTGATAACCGGCGCATATATACAGGGTGTTCTAAAAATGTCTCGCGATACGAAAGCAGAGGATTCCTGAGGCGATTTGAAGCAACTTTTTCCTTAGCGAAAATGCGATCCGCGGCTTCGTTTACGAGTTATTAACGAAAAACGGTGACCAATCAGAGGCGAGATCGTTTGGCACGAGACGGCCGAGCCAATGAGCGGAACCGGGTTCTGCGCGCTCGTTGGCCGGGTCGCCGCGCGCCAGCCGAGCTCGCCTCTTATTGGTCAGTGTTTTTCGTTAATAACTCGTAAACGAAGCTTCGGAGAAAATTTTCGCAAAGGAAAAAGTTGCCTCGAATGACCTCAGGAACCTCCCATTTCCGGATTGCGAGACATTTTCGGGACACCCTGTATAATTTCTAGTCGACGGTCGAACAAACTCGATATAGACTTTCTAGTGATTGTCCTGCATTTTTATAAACAGTCGGTGTCGTTCTATTCTCTGTGTTGATTTATGCAGTCGCTCGTAATCGTGCGTTAACTTTCGCGTAATCTATGGTTGCGTTTGTGCAACGTATCGGTCCTGATTGTTATCGTCCACTGCGACAAGTAATTTATCGAAACAGCGAAATTGTGCCTGACCAGAATCGGATAGCATTATAAAATAATGGTATTCATTGTTATTGTACTGTTTCGTGGAAGGTGATAATAAAATTGGTTTAACACGCAGCCAATGGTGGATAGTAATGCAATACGTATTTTTATTCGATTGCAAACATTCTTTTAGTGTTTGCAAATTGATACAGAGTGATTACTTCTAGAGTACGATATATGTATACTATATATCTATATACTACTATATAGTATATATCTATATACTACTATATATCTAGAGTACGATATATATATATATTTGTTCCAAAAATGTCTCGGAATCCGAAAGTGGCGGGTTCCTCGGGTCATTCGAATGAGAGGCGAGCTCGGCTGGCGCGTGGCGACCGAGCCAATGAACGGAACCGGGCTTCCCGCGCTGGTTGGCTGGGCCGCCTCGCGTCAGCCGTACTCGATTCTTATTGGTCACTGTTTTTCGTTAATAACTCGTTAACGATGCCTCGGAGAAAATTTTTGTAAAGGAAAAAACTGCTTCAAATGATCCGAGGAATCCGCCATTTCCGGATTGCGAGTCATTTTTGGGACACCCTACATATAAAAAATATATGCAACTTTGTTACATCAACGAAACTTCCGTTAACATAACCTCCATTCGCAAATTGTAACGAAACAAGTTTGTTAATTGTATTCTTATTTGAAAGTCTTATGAACGCTCCTGTATTCATGTGACTTGCTTTCAGGAAGGTAAAAAACGTATACTTCGTGACCCCACATAGTTGTGCATAATAAAGAACGCATAAAGACCAGCTATGTTTTTTTAATGGAATTGTACACACACACTGATGCAATATTCGATCTATACCATTATGCTTTATGTAACAGTACCAAAATATTTGTCGTGTCAACAAAATTATTCTGTAACATTTGAATACCACCATTAATTCGTTCAATTGATATATAATCAATTATTATTATTATTATCATAATTTTAACTGATAGTTTCCTGGCATAAATGGGGCCAGCATCTTTTTTTATAAAAAAAAGTCACAAACTGAATCGAACAGTGTGTCGACAAATATGATCCCATTTAAGGAAATATTGTTAACCTAACCTCAAAGCGAGATGTTACAAATATCCATGAAGTCAGCCAAGTCTGCTTCGACCAAATGTACGTGTAAAACGTTTGATAGCGCACTTTGCGAGGAAAACGCGAATTTGATGCCAAGGCTCTGCTGAAAAGTAAATGTGCTCGCTATTTGATCGCCAGACTCATGTTATGTTACCAAATCAATGGCAATACTTTACGGAACGTTGCGGCGAAACGTATCGTTTGTAGAGGGCAGGTCGATCGCGATCACGTGGCAGATGTTGCAGCGGCGCTGTAAGGTTATGCCAAGATTGAAGAAGAGTCGTTGATGCCAAATCCGTGCGATATGCAGAAACAGATGATTCGGTATTTTTGCAGAAATGCGTACTGTCAAATACAAATAACAAGTTCAGGACAAATTGCTTATGTACATGAGTATGTATATATTTAAAGTAACAGGAAAAATGGTTGCAGGTTTGTCGTATCTTGTCTGATACTACAATATCCTTAGAACCAAAGGGTATTTACAACAAAATTATCTTGCCTACGATATCTCAACTATTTTTACACAATATTATAGTGGACTGTACAAATTCCAGGATATTTTTTCCGTCGAGGTGCTGGCCAAGACTGCCATAAATCATTTCAAAGACTAAATGACGGCTAGTCAAGGTTATGTCAAGCTGCTGGCCAAGACTCTGCCATAAATCGTTTTGAAGGCCAAATGACAGCTTGTCGTTTATACTAGATCATTTTGATGTAAGAATTTTATAGAACATAGGAAATATTATATTTAATATTTAATATTTATAATTATAATTATAATATTAATATTTAATATTTTTTACATCACGCGATACGATATCGTTTCGAGGTAATCGTAACTTGCTAAATATACGATCGAAGCAAGATTAATTGTTCAGCTTGTAATGACAGCGGAATAACGACTAACCAGCATCTGAATTCGAATGCGGCGAACGATTGTGCAACGATGAAAGTGTTCAAGTTTATGCGGTTTAGAGTAGAATTACTTTCTCTGTTGGAGCAACGCGTCACGCAAAGAAGAATCTGATTTATCAACGATTACTATAAATGTATTAAATTAGCAATTTACAGTAGTCAGATGTCTCTTCATTGAATGAAGGCTATCCGTTTTGCATATGTACAGAATATGTGCAGAATAAACAATATATACGTATACATTTGTTTATATATATATATTCAGAGATAATAATATTTCAGTGTAATATTGTAATAATATTTATTACAATTATTACAATATTACACTGAAATATTATTATATCTTTGAATATTGCTATAATATTTATATATAAATATTATTATAAATATTATTACAATATTACACTGAAATATTATTATCTTTGAATATTGCTATAAAACAAATGTATACGTATATATTGCTTATTCTGCACATATTCTGTACATATGCAAAACTGACAGAAATATATAATAATATACTGCTTGGTAATATTGTGCCACAGATCTTGTTATTACTATATCGCACGTTATATTATTATTACTTCTTTCTAACTTCTTACTTCTTCCGAGGGGTTGCTCCCCCATGCACCCTCGTAACAAGGGGGAATGACAAAAGAACTATATGTCATTAATAATTTAACCGTCTGTCGCAAGGTAGATTGTACTGTAAACCCTTCTTATTGCGTTATAACCGCATACCCGTTCTTTTAACACTCTATCTCGTAATTAGCGAGAGTCTTCATAGAATGGAGGGTATACAGGGTGACCCGCATTTTTCCGTGCAGTGTTCCGGCAGTGTGTTCTGCAAGTAAAAATAAAACTGACATTGTGTATAACGAAAAGTCTACAAATGCTTCGTGGAGAAGTTATGAGAATAATAAGAGGTATGTGTGTAATGTATAGTCCTTGCGCGACAAGAAGGCACCTCTGTGTCTACATTCCCCCTCTCACTAGCTGCTCCACTGCCGCAGCTAGTAAGGGTGGGGGGGATATGTGGAACTGGGCTTCGACCGCTCGTTGGCTCGAGCGCGTAGCGACAGCTGATCTCGCTTCTCATTGGTCCCCGTTTTTCGTTAATAACTCGTGAACTAAGCTGCGGATTAGATTTTCGCTGAGAGAAAAGTTGCTTCAAATTGTCTCAGGAACCCCTCAGCCCCGGTTGCGAGTCACCTTTGCAACATCGTGTGCATTGAGTTGTTGGAAAAGTAATTTCGGTTTTCTTTTTGTACTCTGTCTACTTGGAAAATCGAGATTACCTTTGCAACAACTTAACACTTACAATATATTTTCCGGAAATGTATTGTTTCGGAATACGTTTAGATTGTAAGTATTGAAACGAACACTTGGTATAATTAGTAAAGTAAATTAGTAAATTCTTCCCAATTGTTTCTCAGCTTGTAAACAAAAATAGACAATTTGGGAAGAGGAGATACGATTATTCGAGCCTTGCAGCACGTTTTTATGGTTGTTGAAAAATCGTTGTTACTGTTCATGTTTAATAGTTGCGTTAATTATTATGATATATATATTATTATATAATTATTATATAATTATATTGCCGTTTTCTCGGTACCGTTCTAATATTTATCATTCAGTTTTCAGTCTTTCATTACGCTTCTCTACATTGAATTAGGCTACGAGTTCATTGCGTGCAAGACTCTGGTGCGTTAATTAGCTTAGTCCATTTCTATTTCCATCTGTTTCTCAGCCTCCTTCGCACCAGAGTTGGACACCAATTGATTATTTTGTGAATACTTTTGTAAATGATCATTGAAACTGGTAAACACGAACGTTAATCAATTAATCTCAACAAGCTCGACGTTATTATTATTGTTTACATTAAAAAATCTATTACGCCGAAGCCGATGTTTATAAAAATGTAGACTTAAGTCTCCCACTGTTCTTATATTTATATTATTTAATATATATATAATAATATATTATATTATATTATTGAAAATGGCACGAGACCCTTTTGAATCTAAAAAAAATCGTTCGCTTTCCTCAACAATTTTCATAATTATTGTTGCACAATAAAATGCAACAGATTTACAATGTTGAGAAGAATCGACCCCCGCCAATATTTTTAAACCGATTCAAACGCTAATTTTGAAATATCTCGATACTTGAAAAAATTGCTAATTCTTCTACTGTTTTTCAGCGGACACGTCACGAAAATTCAAGCATTGCAGACAGCGTTTAACAGCGACGCAGCGAAACTCCTTTCTCTTCGGGCTCGAGCAGTGCTATGTGCACTCGGACGGGCGGACTCGCGATTCGCGCGCAATTGTCTCTTCTCCCCGATGACGGAAGATGGAAAGCAAGATCCCGAGTCTCCTTGAAGAGTGGTGGAGGAGCCACGCGGTTCTCCAAGCTTATCAGTTCGCGCTAGGCAGCCGTGCAATGCGTTGGTTTCTCTTCTTGCGGTTCGATCGTGCCTTGAATTTTACGCGTTACGTGACACGCATACACACACGCCCGCCGGTTCGCCGCCTATGAGAGTCGGTCGTTAAACTTCCGCTGATCGAGCAGCAAGCAAAACTGTCAGTTCCGGTGCAGCACGAACATCCCCCTCGAAGACCGGCGCGTGGAAGCTTCTTCAGACGAATCCGGTAACGCGTGAGCTGTTGCACGCATGCGCAAAAATAAAAAGATAATAATAACATGCGTAGACACGCGAAGTTGGACGATCGTACGAACCGAAAATTTTTTGGATCATTTTGTGCGTAACGATTTCTGTTGAGATTGTTGTTTGAAAGAAAATTCGTCGATTTCCTTTTTTCGCACGCAGGTCATTGAAAAGCCTGATAAATGCTTCCGGTGAATAAGCGAGTAATTTTATTATATTATTATAGTATATTATAGTAATATTATATTATATAGTTATATATATATATATAATATTATATATATACAATATTATATAGTGTCCCAAAAATGTGTCGCGATCCGAAAGCAGGGGATTCCTGCGGTGATTCAAAGCAACTTTTTCCTTAGCGAAAATACGATCCGCGGCTTCGTTTACGAGTTATTAACGAAAAGCAGTGGACCAATCAGAGGCGAGATCGTTTGGCGCGAGTCGGCCGAGCCAGTGAGCGGAACCGGGCTCCGCGCGCTCGTTGGCTGGGCCGCCGCGCGCCAGCCAAGCTCGCCTCTTATTGGTCAGTGTTTTTCATTAATAACTCGTGAACGAAGCCACGGAGAACATTTTCGCAAAGGAAAAAGTTGCTTCAAATCACCTCAGGAATCTCCCATTTCCGGATTTCGAGACATTTTCGGGACACCCTGTGTATAACACGTTGATTGTATAAGGTGTTTCTTTTATTATCCTGCGCAGTCCAAATATGATGGAAAGAATGAATGGAGCATTTCGATTGTTAAATGCTGATGAAAGTTTTCGCGCTGTAGAGTCCGTCCAAAGTTAAACACTTACTCATTTGCACTTGTTTTTTTCGAGTTACGTGAACCAATATTAAATATCCATTTATTTTCTATTATATTATATATATTATAGTATAATATTGTAATTGCAATTTTAAAGGACAGAATGACATTTATACTACAAATTTTCAGAACGAGTCGGACTCGTCGAAGTACGGCAAGGGGTTAACAATCGTGAAAATCCTTGTGAAATTCGAATCGATATCGTCCAGAGCGAAATTACGCGAATGTTGCGACGGGCAGGAAACGTTGTATATGTAGTTTCAAATCATTAAACGAATACAGTCTCGATACGCAGTGTCGATGCATTATTGATTCCGAATGGATACGCGACCGACACAGGACCTATACAGGACTGTTGTGCACACGTGTGTGTGTGTGTGTGTGTTTGTACACAAGGTGATCAATAAGCCCACGGCGAACCTAATTAAACGCACGAAAAGAAAATATCGATCGGTTGCCGGGTTTTTATTGAAATTTTATGAAAAATCAAAAAAAAAAGGAAAACAGAAAAAAAGATTTAGAAAATATATACAAGTTTTTCAAAATATTTATCTGCAAAAATAGTGGCCGTGTTGCGGTCGCAAAATTTTCGATAAGAGACCGAAGCGCATTTACGCGCTACGCCATTGCGTAATCCGAGTGCTGCACGTTGTAATTATAATGTGATAATTATAATATAATGTATAATATTATATATTATAATATAATATATATATATAATATATATATTTATAATTATAAATAATTATAATTGAACGTTTGCAACGTTCGAGTAATACTAAGTCTTTTTTAATATTTTTTTAATAAAAGAATTTCGTTAGAAATTGTGTAATATAAACATAAAAAATTTTTTTAAACCTATTTAAACGACAACTCTTATCGATCACGTGTATCGCAGAATATGTAATCGCAGAATTGATTACGAAAGTAGAAAAACATAGTCGAAATTAAAATGTTCGTTAATTTGAATTCTTTGTAAGGTTTATATGTATAGGTGGACGTCAGGTTCGTCGAAATTGTTTCGAGAACCAACGTTGCAATAACCAAAATTTGTATTCCTCCGATAAAAACCGAGACGTTTCGATGTTTTAAGAACATTTATTACAAAAAGGGTATAAAAATGTAAAAACTATACATATATACTATGCTGATACATATACTTGAGCGGTATACATATGAACAACACACAGGTCAACATTACTTGTAACAAGTAATATCTGTACCGGACACAACGCTTTTCATAATTAATAAGAATTAGCCGTATAGAAAATAGGTATACTAGCTATGAATATACAACGCACATATAATATAATAAAAACAATGAGAAATTGTTTTCACGTGTGTATGTGAAATGATCATTTGTCAATTTAATAATTCAGTGACAATTGCCAACTTATTTGCCAATTAATACTAAATAAACAATATTGTATAATAATTACATAAATGTACATGAAAATAATATAATGTATTATATATATTATATTATATATAATGTATTATATATATTATATTATATATATTATACTATACATATTATATTATATATATTGTACTATATATATTATATTATATATATTATACTATATATATTATATTATATATATTACACTATATATATTATATTATATATATAATGTCATATATTATAATAAAATAATGTACATAAATGTAATATAACGAAACTATCACGATAATATAAACCGTACCGTACAGCAAGCCAAGTGACCTAAATTTGTTCACGATGTTACAGATTTCAGTTTACTAACTAAAATATTATTTTCACAAATTGCAATCAGTTAGGATGAAACGAAAATGAAAAAATGATGTTTTCCTCAATTCTTTGATCTGAGTAACTTGTAAAGTAACTTGTGTACTTGTAAAAACTTACACTGAAAAATTTCATCGAGATCGCTTAATATTGCAAATAATTAATTAAGATAAACCGATGCCTGTAACATCCTTAAAATAATTCAAATTGTTCGGTCGACACATGAAAAAGTTATGATTCCGTACTAAAAATGTGTACGTGTAAACTTTTTGTCGACCCGCTGCACGAAATCATTCATGTATTAGAATTCCATCGATAACGACAGTGTCAAGAATTAATTGAAAAAACAATTAACGTCAACGTATTTCAATTACTTCAACGCATCTTATACAGCGTTTCACGCTGTAACAGATTTTATAGAATACAACGAATACTGTTCAGGGAATAATGTAACACAAAGAATACCGATATGTAACAATTTCTTTCTTTTTTTGTTTTGTTTCGTTTTCTTTGTCCAAACGCGTCCGCGCACATTTTGTTAATTCGGAAACGTAAGAAACGCGTTCGACACGATGAAACAATTTGTAGCAAAGCGACGAGAAAGAACAATATCGCACGTAAAAGTGCGACAAAATCAGAAATCGTTGTTCCCTTTGAATTGACATCAAGCTAATATTTCAGGACAATTAGTTCCTCACATGGAAAAATACCATTCAATTGACGATTAAATCTTTCTCTCTCTCTCTTCGAGAGATCGATTATTTGATATAACATTAATAAATTCATAATAATGTCAGCGGCGTTTCGTTTCATTGACATTCTTATCGTTTCATGTTACGGGTAAACACAATTACATTCTACATCACATTTTCTTTCTTTCATTGCTTCCGCCCTTCTTGATTCGCTCTGCGCTCGCATCAGCTTCTGCCGTAAATTTCATTCGTCAAGGTCAGACTCCTTTTTCGAAGACCAGAACACAGAGTTAACCGTCCTTGCTTTTCGTTTCTACGTGGACACGCACGCGTCTCATCTATACAAGGTGTCCCGAAGATGGGAGGTTCCTGAGGCGATTCGAAGCAACTTTCTCCTTTGCGAAAATGTTCTCCGAGGCTTCGTTCACGAGTTATCAACGAAAAAACACTGACCAATAAGAGGCGAGCTCGGCTGGCGCGCGGCGGCCCAGCCAACGAGCTCGCGGCGGCCCGGTTTCGCTCATTGGCTCGGCCGCCGCGTGCCGAACCATCTCGCCTCCGATTGGTCACCGTTTTTCGCTAATAACTCGCAAACGAAGCCGCGTATCGCATTTTCGCTAAGGAAAAAGTTGCTTCAAATCACCTCAGGAATCTCCTAATTTCAGATCGCAAGACATTTCTCCGGACACCCTGTACATACAAAAGGATCCACGCGATTCGGTCATTCTCGACGAAACTATAAATTTGCCTAAATTCCGCTAAATTCGAGAATTCCTAAATTTCTCTAGATAATCATTGGCGTCGTAGTTTGGAAGCGTTGAAATATCTGCTCGTTGGACTTTCAAGAAAATTTCGCTTAACGTAGCTCCATCGGCGTTCCCGTTTCACGCCGCTCGCCCGTATTCGTCGTATTTGTTTATTCCGAACAATAACCTATCATTCGTCGTTGTCGTTGACTAGATCGATCACGGTCGGCCTGTTGCTCATGGTCTCGATGCCGGCCGAGCGCGGGATGAAAATGCAGCCGACCGGCTGCTGCACCGTCGCCTCCGTGTTATTGTTTATCTCGCACACATCAATATAATAATTGATGCCGTAATGCTGCAGCAACGTCTCCGACGGTATACCGATGTTCCCGTTGCACGTCAACACGTTCTCCTTCGCGTTCTCCGATATAGTAATCTTATCGTGACCCTTGTTCTGCGCCCTGGCGAACGACTCCCTCGAAATGCTCCTCTCGTTCGTCATCGCTCTAACGACGTTGCTCTCTGGCCCGACGGTCTTCATGCTCTTCCTAACCGCCGCCGGCTCGTCCGCGAGGCCGTTCCTCGCGTCGAACTTCACGCCGCCGGCCCGCTTCCGTTTCCTCCCTTCCACACCGCCTTTCCTCTCCATCAGGTGCCAGCCTTGCTGCTCCATCCGTAGCATGTCCTTAATGGCGTCCCTCGCTAGCATCTCCTGCTCGAAACGGTTCGGCGACTCGTGATTGATCTCTCTGGCCACGTTGTCGTGGCCCCGAACGATCCTCAGAACCTCCTGCACGTCGTCGTCCGTGTTCTGTTTCTCGACGAAACACGTCTTCGAATGTTGTTGTTGTTGTTGTTGTTGTTCCGGAAGGGGTGCCGCCGCGACCGTCACCGGCGAGATTTGATTCGGCACGATTATCGGGAATATCACCGGCATCACCAGCTGCACCGTGTTCACGGCGTCGCCGCGCGTCCGCAGCAACTTCTCGGTGCAGCAGCTCCTTAATTTCTCGTTGCCGTCCTTCGAGCGCGACTGGAACATAACCCTCACGCTGTCCACGATCGCGGGACTCGCCGCCGATCTCGCCGCCGGTTCCGCGCGACGCGCGTCCTCGCATCCCCTCACCTCCGCCGGCGGCGCCGTCGGCCCGGACGCCAGCGACTCCGCGTGATCGGCCGATTCGGAGCGATTACGGCCGAACGATATCCTGGCGTCCGTAGCTGGACCGTCCTCCTTCACGTCCACGTCGTCCGGCGTCGGACGGACGCTCGCCTCGCACGCGCAGCCTAACCTATCTTTCCGGCGCGCCTCCTCGCCGCCGTGGAGCCGCCCGGTAACCTCGCTTTTCGCCGGATTCTTTTCTACAAAGTTACCAGCGGCTGTATATTGATTGGTCCCGTTTACCGCGCGCATAGTTGCGCTGCAACACTGGCAAGGACTATTATCGAATACAGGGTGATCAATACCAGGAACGTCGTCGCCTGTGCCGCAGGCATCGTTCACCGCGATTAACGTTACACCGTCCACGGATGATTCGGTCTGCGTCGCCATGCTGATCGTACGGCTCGATTTCAGGTGTTTCCGTTTCACCGTGGTCTCGGTGACCACCTCGCTGCCTATCCGCAGTATCAGCCGCAGCTTGCTCTGCAACTTTGTCGCCGGGTACCTCCTCGTGACGTAGCTGTACTTAGAATACTTCGACAATGTATCCGGCATTTCAACATCGTCGTTGTTGTTACTGTCGTTGTCCTGCACGCGCGTGGTCGTGCCGACCGTTTCCCTGCGGCGACCACGATTCGCGTGTTTCCTCGCCACGTGCACGTTCACGTCCGTCTCGCACTTGAAGCACTTTCCACACAGGTCGCACGCTGCTCCCAGAACGACGACGCTGCAGTCGCGTAGCTTTAACCCATTGGCGCGACCGCGTGCCTCGTTGCTCGACCGGACGACGCCGTGCAGCGCGGGATAACGGCACGGATATCTTTTCATTTGAAGACCCAAGACACGGAGGAAGTCCTCTTTGCCGCTCACTTCCGCGGCGTCGAGCTGCCTGCCATGCGAGACATTATTTTCGCCGCGTTTCTGCGTCCTCAGCGAGTATCTGTTTATTTCCTCGACGCTGTGGCAGGCCGGCTGCGTACGTGGCGCCATCTCTTAACGGTCATTGACCTCTGCAAGCAAATACCGGACGCCGGTCGTGATACAGCCGAGTTTCGTATTTTTTTTTATTTTTTTTTTGTTTTGTTTTGTTTTCGTTTCGTTCGCTTCGGGTTTTTCTCTTTGATTGCGCGTTTTTTCGATATTTTGTAAACAAGAACCGCTCGTTCTCGTTGTAGTTCCCGGTATCCTTGGACTTCGAGGGGAATAATGACTGTTACTTTTTCTAGATGAACTATTTTGATCGAAGCGAACTATTTTTCTCTCGTTGTCGAATTGATGCGTGTTTCGCTGGATAGTTTGCGTGTTAATATATGGACAGATTCAGAGACTGATGAGTCTAATTAAGTGAAGCTTATGACACAGGATGCTTGCGATGGCGTGATGGAGCATGTGCGACGCTGGAATTGTTATCAGAAACGGATGCGAGTGCCATGGAAACGATAAACTGCTGTCGGGAAATTAATGTACGATGTAGCACGCAGATTAAGCTGAATATCATTTTAAGGTCAAATTTCTGCCGTTTATTTACAAAAATAGCAGTGATTTTTCGATCTTAAACGTGGTTGCACTAACAATTAATCGGTTACTATTGCAGTCTCTTTGAAAAGTGTATTTGTGACTGTTATAATAATTAATTGGATAATTAATTAATATAGAAGTTGGAGCGAAACGACTGTTAAAAACAGCCTAACTGGTTGACGACTTTGCTCTGTTTCAACTGAAAGACTTTTCTCAGAAATATTGTTATCTCTTTTTCTTTAATGCAAAATAATAATTATATAAAAAATATAATATAATTATTATATATTATATAATATACAATTATATAATTATATAATTATATAAATATATAATATATTTATATTATGAAATATTTTTAAATCTCAAAGCATCGAATTAATTTATACATCTGTGATAATACGCAAGATGAAGAATGTCTGCTAAAATTATTTTGCTGTGAAATTTCTATAACTGATATTTTTTCTTTTTTTTTCTAGAAAAGCAAGCGCGAAAAATTTGAACAATATAAAAGTTACAACACAATAAAAAGAAAAGTTTCTATTTTGTCCAGAGAATGTTGCGCACCGAACAATTAACTCTTGGCCCAAATAATTACAGACAGACGTGCAAACGTTGTTATACAACATTATACAAGATAAAAATAAAAATAAACATTGAAATATTCCTTTAAAGGATTTCAATCAAATTTCAATGTCTCTTTGCTTGTCGAACGATTTTTAATTCAATGAGAATATTCGAATAGAACGAAATTCAGGGATTGTAAGTAATCCGTAATACATACATCATTCGTTATGATCGGTACAAGTAAGAAATGTGTCTCCTTCACGCGAAGCAAGGACGACCAACTTTGGTGTCTGCAAAATGGCGGCAAAATAAGGTGTTGACGGTGCTTCGCGAAGCCGATGTAGGATATATATATATATATATATATATAATGATATAATTCCAGCGTTCCCGAGGCCTTATCTTCTCTCTGCAGTACTACTGATAACACCGTATTATCACATAGAGTGTCCCGTGGTACAATTTAACCGTCGGCGGCTCGTAAAGTTTCTTTCAAACTCCAACTGTGCGTAAAAGTCACCGGGCGAACGAATCGTACGACTCAATTCGATGCATTCAACTAAAATAGTAGACCCAGCCGCGCTATGGCAACACACTGAGTCAGCATCTGGTCCGATAAGACCCAAGATCCTTTGCTGCAGGGCCAATGAGCGGCGCGTCCGTTTACGAACCGACTAATGGCGGCCGGGTTGCTCCCCCACTCTTCAGTCGTGTCACAAAGCGACCACTTTAGAGCCTGCCTTATCTCCATCCGTAACGCAGAAGACCGAAACGTAGAAGAGTGGTTCCCATGGACGGAATATTGTTCGTACTCTAGAATATGCGTTGAAATTAACGAGAGAAATTTGAGCAGAAATAATATATATATAATAATTTAATAATACAATGTAATAATATTATATTTATATATAATATAATATAATATTTATATAATATAATAATATAATAAATAATTATAATAATATAATAATTTATTACGTTTTCTTTTTTCTTTTTGATAGAAAGCTAGAAAAATTTTCAATTTTCATTACATACTTTATATATTAATATCGTATATTTATATCGTTCTAAGGTACAATAGAATCGATTTTATTATTTCTTAATTCTTTTTCATATTACTTTTCAGCCAGATTAAGGCGTACGCGATAAAAGTTGCAGAAATAATTGCAATGGTAAATATGAAATACGATGTGAGAACATGATCCACACGTGCTGCAATCATGCGTTGGCATAAACTGTTATGCTATACGTGTATACAGTGTACAGTATAGTGTTAGTATACAGCAGAGACTCTCTTATCTGAACGTTAAATTGTTGTAATGTCCTGATACCGAAAGATTTTATTATCCAAAAAATTTAATTCTAGTTCTCTGCTAGGCGATAAACAATGCAATAATATTTCATTATTGCTAGATTAGATAATAATTGGATAAACGAGTCTCTCTCTCTGTGCTGTACAGCGAAATATATATATAATAATAATAATATATATATTATATATATTATATAATAATAATCATATATATATTATATATATTATATAATAATAATCATATAGCTACACATATTAATGGGATAGAATTGTTTTTTAATCATGTTCGTCATAACAGAAATTACGTTTCGTTTGCAAAATAAATCGGATAATACGAATTTTCTTTCTATCTGATGTTGAAAATAAGGTATACATTGCAACACGGTCCTGTGGCGCAACGGATAACGCGTCTGACTACGGATCAGAAGATTCCAGGTTCGAATCCTGGCAGGATCGATATCTTTTTTTTTCGCAACAAACTATTTTCCTTTTAAAGGATATGAACAAATAGTTTGTTTATATAGTACTGTTACAAATTTTATTTGCAGTTACTCGGGTTAATTAATATATTACGCGACGAATGCAAGTAGGGGAACTAATATTGATTATTATTTATCATTTAGCAGCGATATATGTAAAAATCGTTTAGCTATATTAACGAACATGAAATCGATGTAAAACTGAGCTATTTTTTATTTAACTTTTACTCAATATATAATTGTTTTGCTTTAATTATTACATTGCCTCGTGTCACAAAGATGTCCATACTTGGATCCTTTGAATAGAAATCTAGATCATGACGATGATCGTGATCAAATTTAATAGATCTGATTGCGTAATTAATTTATTAATTTAATTTAATTTATTAACTTACTTACTTTATGTATACATATATTTATATGTAGCAGCGAATTGATTGTACGGATATATTTGTTTAACACGTGCAATTTTGACAAAATTGTAAAGAAATGCAAGTTACAGAAATTTTTATTTGCGATTAAACCGTTCCAGTTGACATTCTCTCTCCTCGATATAACCTCGAAGCTGATTTAGGTTTTTGCACATCGTTCAACTTCGACGGCGTATCGCGCTCGATTTTATTTTATTTATTTTATTTCACCGAAACGTAAAGTTGCAAACAGTGTAGCAAACATTATAAACATATTAATTTATCCGCAAAAAGTAACGTAGCTTATTACAAGGTCAGAGCACTTTACGTAGCCGGTTTAATAAACAATTAGAAAAAACTGAGAAATGTATAAAGTTTAATATAAAATCAAGAGTAGAAAATATCAGTAACGAAGTAGTGCTACATATGTAAAACTTGTTGCAATTAAGGATGCAAATGTTTATGCGAATTTAATATATTACTGAACATTTATTTATTCACGGATTGTTCCTAAATATCAATGAAACAAAAACTTCTCCATTTTATTGTACATCGCATAATATATATTATATATATATATTATAATATATAATATATATAACATATATATATTGAAAACTTATAAACATCCGTAACGATCACTATGCTATAATTATATAAATTCATGCTGCCCGTGCAATTAATTGGATATTGTTTTCACAGGAATACTTCACACCTGCGAATGTACTTCACAATATGGATAGTTGTTCTTGCCCAATTCAGAAATATTCGTAAGTTTTCCTACATGAGAAATCTGTAAGTACTTATTAGTTAATGTAAAAATATTGTAACGAGAGCTTAACGCAAAATACAAGCACATTTGTTCGTTAACCAATAACTTCTAATCTTATTCATTTACGGTACATAGTAATTTGCAAAATTGCATATTTAAGCGAAGTTTATTAATGTAATATATTATATGATATTATTATCTCATATAATATATATAATATATTAATATATTATATTATATTATTATCTCTCTCTCTCTCTCTCTCTCTCTCTCATATAATATATATAATATATTAATATAATATCTTATATATATATAGAACTTGTAGCTAAATTTT